TAAAGAACTTTTATTATTCATATATATATATATATATCGTTTATATAATATCAAATTAATATTAGCAAAAATTAGGAAATATTTGAAGAACATTCAGAAAAAAAAAAAATTACCGTTCAACCCATATCAGATAATTTTAGACGCCTTGCTTGAACAAATTAATGAAAAGTTAAACCTTCATTTAAATTGAATAATTCCTGATTTTTTAGTAAAAAATATTAGCATTACTTGTTTTTTTTTTGTTGTTTTTTTTTTTTTATACGGTTTTTTTTTTTTTTTTTTGCTTTCATTATCGAGTTTGCGGATGCATTCTTCCCAGATATTCACATTTTTTTTTTTCACCAAATATTATAAAAAATTGCATTTGTTAATAATTTTCTCACGGAAAATATTTTGGCATGTGGATGTGCGGGTATGGTGTAAAGGATAATGTCTCGGAATAAGAAATTGTGGTGTCTGGTTCAAATTGTAAAATGAATGGGTCAAATCAGATTCGCTAGGTAAAGATATTAATTCATCTATTCTCAACCTCCTCCCTAGTTTTGTGCCTAAATAGTCGGACTTTTATCTTAAAAAATTTAATCATTATCACCAAAAAATTAATGAAATCTACCATTTTCCCTAAATATTTTTTATTTTTCATCCAAAATATTCTCAAATTTTAATAACCATTAAGGGTTTTAAACCGACAAAAGAACCATTCAATTTCCCCAATTCAGGGGAGTTTGGTACATTCCTTATGGAGGAAAACATAGTTGAAACGAGTATGAATTTTATCCGTACTCTCAACTCGGTTATAGGTTAAATACCAATCGGACTTATCCCCTAGTTATAGGTTAAATAGTGGTGAAGACTGCTCTTCAGCTCCCGTGGCTTTGGCCCAGTCTAGAAATGAAAATTTGAATTCTAAATCAACATTACTATAGAAACCATATCACCATTCCCTAACATTGAGTACGCTAATCGGCAATTCCTCAAAAGTGTTTACCAGCCTTAATGAATGAAGTCAGTTTGGGTATATTCTTCTTTAAAGTCTTTTATAAAAAAAATCTTGAAAATTACCCTTTTTGCCAACCTGTAAGACAATTATATCACTGATATATACAGACGAGGAAGCATTGTAATTCCTCCTTCCAGATAACTAAAAGGCCGGAGGTGTGTCAATAAGTTAGCCTTATCAAGTACAGCAGAAAGGTTTCAAGCGTATATTGATTTATATTATATTTATTATATATATACATATTTACCTCATGAGTCATTTAACCGTTTGAACCCCGCGTTTCCTTGAACAAATTAAACCTTCTGCCTGGTTCCTCAGTCAAAATTCCCCAAAAAATTGTTATGTAATGTTTACTCACGGTAGATATAAAAATAATTATATTGTTTACCCACCTGGGCTGGGCATTACATCATTTTTTATCCAACCCGTAAAAAAGATGGTCAGGGCTCAATAATTAAATTTTCTTACAAGTATCCCAGCCATGATTGAGTTTTGTTTTTAATATCAAAAATACTAAAAAAGCTTGGATTTTTTACTAACCAGTATATTATATTATTACAATAAGGATATACTCGTATAATATATTTATATATATGGTTTTTGTGTTGAAATTTGTGTCCGACAATTATTTTTAAAATATTTTTTAAATGTTCCTTTAAAAAAATTTTTATCGATACAATTCTTTAAGGCAAATGCTGTTTTTATAATAAACAAATCAATGCATTAAAACATTACTTAATTTTTGCAAAAAATTTTAGAAGAAATCCTACCCAACTGTAAATGTAATCATATATCTTTATTCGAACATCAGAACCTCTGAGGTCTATAAATTAGGTACTCTCAAACAGCTGTAGCATAAACCACAGGTCGGCTCTGGGAGTGTTAAAAAAAAAATACAAATGGATCTGAAGATGTGGACCTGTTTGGAAACTATATATATATATATATATATAGATGAGAAATATATTGATATATAATATATATATATATATATATCATTAAAGACAAATCTCGGGTTGGTTCAATCATGCGAATAAAAAGAAATCTTATAGCTTTCCACAAAGTTTTTAAGAAAGAGTTGGCTAAATTTAGGTATCCGATTTTAAACTTTAGTGATTAGAATAATTTGTTTGTTTAATTCATTAAGTTGAATCTCAAAGGTTAATGCTGAAATTCGGAGTTTGATGTAATAAAAATAGAAACGTTATTCTGATTTCACAGTTGAATACATGGTAGATGATTGCTTTTCTGCCTATACATGTTTACTAGACATAATGACTAGAGGCTTAATGTTGTAGTTTATTGAAGTTATATTTTGAATACAGTTTGATTTAAGAAATTGTAGGATATTATAGAGATTAATGTCATCAAGAAAGTTCTTTAATGTTGGTTGGCTTTAATATTTGAAATGGATTTAAATAAATTTGAACTGTTTCATTGTTTTTATAAATAAAATATATATTAGTCATTTTGTATATATATATATATATATATTTTACTATCAATTATTGTTCTATTTTTAAAAAAAATGTATTTTTATACTTCCATAGTGTTTTGTTTTTGCCTGGTAGGGGATTCACTATATGCCCATAGCTTGGACCCTAACAGCTGATTGCATCTCGTGGTAGGGTGGACCTGGGAACAACTGCAGTTAAGAGGTAGTTTCACCCCCTCAAAACCTCCAATTTCCCGATCAGCAGCCTTGCTGCCGGATGTAGTTTATCGTCATACCCAGGACGATGGTGATTGTGGTATATATGTAGTTTTATATAAATGTCGTATTAGAGTGAAGTAATTATTATAACTATGATCGGGTCAGTGAATATTGATTAGTCAAATTAAATTTAAGAACCATGTGACTAATTTTTCCCACTCCCTATTTTCCGGTCTTGTGCCATATTTTATGCAAAAATACATATTCTATTCATACGAATCTATCCTAAAAATGTTGTCGGCATTAAATAACCCATTGAGGTTGATATGCCGTTAAACAAAATAAACCAAACCAATCTAAACCAAAGAATACATATTCTATTCATACGAATCTATCCTAAAAATGTTGTCGGCATTAAATAACCCATTCAGGCAAAATAAATAAATGTCGTAAAGCAAAATAAACCAAACCAAACCAAAGCAGGCCCTCTACAAAAACCCTCTTTACAAAAATATGTCAATGAAACCTGCTCTACGAACTCATTTCTTACAAAAAAAATACACATTCTATTCATATGAACCTATCCAAGAAATGTTGTTGGCATTAAATCACCCATTGAGGTGTTGATATGCCGTAAAACAAATTAAACCCAAATCAAACAATATATTCCAGTATTTCTCTTTTTTTTTCCTAAGGGCTCACCTGCGTAATAACTTAAAGTCTGGGAATCACTTAAAATTAGAAGAAAAATTAGTCATGAAATTTGAAAATGGGAGAATATAAATTTAAAGGAATTTATGAAGAATATGCTAGTTTATTTATTTTATTTTATTTTTTTATTTTTGAGAGGCCTTTAATGACTGAGTGAAATCCTTTGAAGAAGGCCAACGTGGAAAGATTATCCACTCCTTTTAAAGATTAAAGGAATTTGACATCCACTTTAAAATATCAAATAACCAACACTTGACTTAGATATGGAAGCCATGTGCTTGTTGTCTCTTCTTCGATGTGACGTGTCCCTTCAAGAAATTACCGATCATAGCTCTCCACAATTTCCTTTCCTGTGTTGATCTTGATAAATTTTATCTTTTAGCTATCGCTCCTAAACTCTGCTCCGTCCTCCATTCACTTAACCTCGCCAGGTATTGTGCTTCTTGATTCTGTCTATTGATAGAATACAGCGGCCACTCTTATTATTTTGAGGGGTGGATGGTTCCTACTAACATTGTTTTGTTTTCGTTTTGTCTTTGGTTGACATTTTGAGTTTCTTGTCGAGGTTCAATTCCCCTCCCTATCATTTCATGTTTCATGAAATTTTTATATATATACATATATATACGAACATTACAAATTTTTATTTCATGGTGTGTTTTGAGGGCTCTTGAGTATAGGTGGTATTGTGGTGTGTGCAGGATTGAAAGGTGATGGATGAGTTCTTGTGGTGAATGTGTAATTGTAATGAATGAATGGGTCATGATTGTGGTTAACTAGGAATAGGATAGCTAGTGAAAGACCAGCCTTTCCACCCACTTCCCCTTCAGCCTTGTGCCACAATTTTGTATTTAAATAAATATATAACCTCGCCAGGTAGGTTGTGCGTTGTTTTCCTCTGTCCCTCTTGCCTTCAATCTGTCCTGTGAGTATCAGGTTTTCCAAACCCTCTTTCCTCATTATATGTCCTAAAAAAATCAGTATAAGTGTCCTTTTTGTTTCCATTGCCTCTAGAATTTCGTCGTTGCTCACATGCTCATCATCGTTCTGTAGAGCCACATTTCTGTTGCTTCAAGTCTTTTCTTCAACAGTGAGAAGATTTTCCAGCGTTCACTGCCATATCGCTTTTTAAAATAAAAACCTATTTTAAATATAAAAAAAAATTAATAAATTACTCTTATTTTAACTTGAGGCGCATCTGGTTACATTAGTGAGCCCGAACGCAGAAGCTGAAAAATGCTGATATAACCTATTATTATTACGACATATCACTCTCACCAAATAGGGCGCCCCAGGGCGGTGTAATCGTTAGCAAGCTTGTCTCGCTAGATCAATTACGACTGAGTAGTGAGTTCGATCTTCACTGGGTACCCCATGCTTTCGGCTTTATGCCACATCTAAGCTACGCTTGAAAAATCACTCTCACGAAATATATTCCTACGAAAATAGTTCATCTCGCAACAACGTGTTTAGGAATTTCGACAATGTCTTCTGCATATGATTATCTTTGCGGCGACAGACCGCGTTCGGCGTTGTCTTGCGATGACTTGTATGCTTTCGAAGGTTAGACTTCAGTCTGCTAAGGGTTATATCGTATATGTAATGATTAAACTGAACTCATAGCAAATAAAACCATTAGCAAGAACACGTGAGCCAGAAACAGAGGACGTTTCTTAAGAGATATGCAGGAAGTCGTCGAGAAAATAAATTTCTGCTGCCAGTCTTCTGAGAAAAATAAAATTTGATTAGGCTTTAGGCGTTCACTGTCAATTGAAAAGAGGTTTTGAAATGATAACGACATCAAATAAGTCATGAGAAATAGGAAGGCTAGCAATCAGCCATACGAACAAAAAATAAGTATACCGAATATAACAGCGAAATTGTTAGATTGCATTATATATATATATATATATATATATATATATATATATCATTACATTTATATATATACCGTGTGTGGCAGCAAAATTGTTACATTTTCTCCAGCAAAAGACTCATTTTTGTAGTTTAGTGCTACCAGCAAGCAGAAATATTTCTCCTCCCGATGATGGCCATTTTGGTCGAAACTAGTCGAGGAATCTAAATGAAATAATAATAAAACCGAAAGAATATTAATCTACAACCCAGTGTGTCTAAAAGATTTTAATTTTTAATTTTTTTTGTTCAATATATATATATATATATATATATATATATATATATATATATATATATATATATATATATATATATAACAAAATTGTTATGGTTATTATTATATATATATAAGTAATAAAGCTAACAATTAAGTTGCATTACTTATATATATATAGATAGATAGAAAGATAGATTGCATTATATATATATATATATATATATATATATATATATATATATATATATCGTGTGACAGTAAATTGTTAGCTTGTATTACTTATATATATTTATGTCTTTAATAAATAAATATATATATATATATATATATATATATATATATATATATATATATATATATATATTATAACAACTTAAAAGAGACTGTTTGACCAACACAAGGAATGTTAAAAGATTCATGTTAAAAAGATAAAAAATAAAAAACAAATGAAAACTACAGACAAAAGTTCATTTTTTCCAGCAAAAGACTCATTTTTGTAGTTTAGTGCTACCAGCAAGCAGAAATATTTCTCCTGATGATGATGGCCATTTTGATCGAAACCAAAGTAATGCTATCTAACAATTTTCTGATACACCATATATATATATATATATATATATATATATATATATATATATATATATATATATATATATATATATATATATGTGTGTGTTTTCAACGATAAAATATATTAAAAAATGATAAAATTCAAATTTTCAAACTCACTAGTTGTATATTAATATTTTTTGTCTTATTATTTCATTTACGTTCCTTGACTAGTTTCGGCTCGCTTGGCCATCGTCAGGAGGAATTAAAAAAAATAATTTAGAAAAAAAAATATTCTGCTTGTTAGTATCAGTGAACTACAGGAGCGAGTGACTGTTTATAAGGAAAATGAACTTTATCTCTGGTTTTCATTCGTTTTTTTTTTTCTCGTTAATTTTGGTCGGGCCTTGTGTTGGTCAAACGGCCTCTTTCAGTTTGTTTTTAAAAAAGAGGCTGGGGAGATTCATGAATCGAAGATTTTCATTCTTGGTCATTTTGACAATTTCGTGGTTGCTAAAAAATGGTAGGGAGTGTATTAAATATAATTAACGTCACCAATCCTAATTCTTTTTGGGAAATGTGGATGAAGATTTATGGGGTTAGATATATATTAGTTTTGAACGTCGCGATAAATTTAGTAGACCTCAACACCTCTGCAAGCATGTCTTTGATATGAGAATATATATATATATATATATTTATATGGGGTTGATTTATTAATTCTATCTATAACTATTAAATTTGTTGTTAAAATATATATATGATGATATGATTTAAATGCCATAAAACATTTTTATAATATGTACAGGTTATATTTATATATATATATGTATATATATAAAAATATATAAATATATATATATATGTGTATATATGTAACATCGCGAATAAATAATAAAATATCAGTTTTTTTTTCCTTTCCTATATTTTTTTTAAGTATTTAAATGTATTTTTAATGGAAAATTATATTGAATCAAACTCTATTTCCCCTTCTAAGAAAGTTAAATGCTCACTATATATTAGACGGCCTTCCTCTCCAGAATATATCTTATTATTCATAAGTTAATAGCATATGTTGAATATTTCTGCCACATATGGTTGGTGTTTATTTATCTGTATATTTAAATTCTTGATGAAAAATCATAGTATTTTTGATATGGCATATCGACTTCTAGTCACTTTCCACCGGCGTACTGTAACTCCCATTTGTAAATACTTTCATGGTAATTGCTCAGATGACCTATCCGCTATGGTACATAAATTTTATTTTTAAAATCATATATTGGCAGTAAAAGATTATTCAATTTTCAATGTCAAGTTCTATGTTAACAGTTTCCTCTCTGCACTATCATCAAATCTCACTTGTACAACTCTCTTCCATGGTTTTTCCAAAATGTACCTTCATCTTCTAAAAATCAAATGCAATGTCAATTTGTTATCTAGTGTGTTCTTCATTACTATTCTTCTTGCCTCTTTAATAATGTTTCTCTTCTCTTTTTTTATTCTTAGACAGTCAGTAACCTCTTGTGACTTAGTGGCTTTCAACATTACTTGGGATGAAATGATTAAAAGATTGTGGGAAAAATTGTCTAGCATTAACTACCAATAAAAGGGTTCATATTATATATAGAGTTCATACTCATTTATATGGTTATAAGACAATGAATATAGTAGCAAAAAATATACGTACAATGCTTTGAACGTATGTCTTGGAAAGATATTTACCTTATATATGACTTGAACTAGGTTTGACAAGAGATAGATAGATAGATAGATAGTATATATATATAGATAGATAGATAGATGAATGGAATGCCATAGATAGATGGAGATGATATGAACGGACATCGATAAATGTCGCTATATGAATACATATATGTATATTTCATATATAGATATAGATAGATAGATAGATAGATATATATGATATAGCTTCCTGCTTATCTGGTTGTTGACCGCGTCTCTAATTAGATAGATAGATTTAGATAGATAGATAGATAGATTGATAGTTATGAACAGCCTTTGAGATGGATGGAGAGATAAAATATGAACGGGCATTATGGATACTAATGTGAACAAGATAGATAGATCTTTAGTGAACAGAGATTCAAGATAGATAGATAGATAGATAGATAAAAGGATGCTAACCTGTTCCCTTTCTAGACAGAAGCCTTTTTCAGTGATTCTTACGTCAAATGGTGTCAAGATGGCTAAACGTCTTATCTGAAATCTTGGAAAAAAAGAAACTCAATTATTTCAGTGTTTGTTTTTTTTATATATTTAACATTTTGTGGGATGGACAATTTTGTTCTGATGAAATTATATAATATATATATATATATATATATATATATATTTAATTTTTATAAATTTTTTTAATAAAACCAAACGTTTAACAGTCTGTTCATGTCAAAAGTTAACATTGTAATTTGTGTTAATATACGAGTCTTTTTAACAATGGCAGGATATTCATATCGTGAGCAGGCAGATATTTACTTTTTACATACAGTCGCGGAATGGTAATGGACGCGAGGCTGTCTGTCTTATGAGTTTAAATGAATTTGATCTTCAGTCAAAAGAATATCCACGGAAAAACTGCTGTTTATCGTCGAGTTGACGAGACAGAATTCGTAGCACTACAAACTATGGATCGACGAAGTCCGAGATCTGTTCTTAAAAGATGAGCACGAAGAACCCATACTACAGGCTGTAGGAGACAATCCTGGTATCAACACACGTCAAGTGGCCGTAGCATGTTGTACATCTCAAAATACCACGTGGAGGGTAGTATGTGTCCAGATTCGAAGGTGGCAGAGGATTAGTTCAACTAGAACTGTCTTATAAAAACACAACAAAGATGCCTGGAAACTACAGAAGACTGAATGACGATCTGTGTCAAAGAACATGAACGAAATTCAAAAGGGAATTTCAAGTGAAGAAGTTTAAATAAACCATAATACAACTACTGCTGCGGCAAAGAACCTAAAAAGAAATGAATGAAACAAATTATTCTATAATAGTAAGGCATGTACGCCTCTTCATGGTCAAAACCACCCGTAAATTTCAGAAAAAATTGATTTAGACAAAACCCTTGATTCTCTACCTGCTGCATTATCCCGAAGCTAATGTTGATCGTCTGTATGTGATCAGATCCAAAAGTGGTAAAGAATTAGTTCAACCAGCAAATGTTTTACAATGCCACTACAATCGGCTTTCAAAGACACCTGAAACTTGGTGAAATCTGGTTTTGGAATTTAGTTTATTTTGTCACTGGTATATCAACCTAATGGGTTATTTAATGCCGACAACATTTTTTAGGATAGATTCGTATGCATAGAATATGTATTTTTGGTTTAGATTGGTTTGGTTTATTTTGTTTTACGGTATATCAACCCAATGGGTTATTTATATATATATACATTTTTTAGATATATTCGTATGAATAGAATATGTATTCTTTGGTTTAGATTGGTTTGGTTTATATTTTGTTTTACAGCACATCAGTTTTTGGCTGTAATGTGGATTTCAAAAAAATATTATGCATTATTTCCCATAATTTTGCTACACGGGTTTCCGGTCTCGCGACTGTCATCAGGCAAATGGTGGAGATTTCCACATATTATTAAAAATAATTCATCTTTTTCTTTTCGATATGAGACATTTTCTTTTTTTGTGTTAGTGATCCAAACGTCTTTCTTGAACTGGCAGGGAAAAGTTCTGCGTGAAGGGTTATAAAACAATTAAAAATAGTCCGATAAATGATGAAGTAGTTATCGGCATGCTTATCTTTTAATGACCCCTGTGTGTTCTTAGATATGTTTCCATTTTCGTGTGCTTTTGTCAGCATTTGTTTAGATAGGTTTGGTTTATTTTGTTTAACGGCATATCAACCTCATTTAATGCCGACAACATTTTTTATTGCTGGTAATATTTTGTTTAGACAAATATTTGTTTGTGATAATATTGTTCCTTCAAAATTGTACTGCCGGTAATAATGTTTTTCAAAAACGTATTACTGGTAATAGTTAACTATTTGCCCATAGCTGGGACCCTAACACAACAATCGGTCTTCCCTGGAATCTACAGAAGACTGAATGACGATCTGTTTCAAAGAACATGAACGAAATTCAATAGGGAATTTCAAGTGAGTGAAGAAGTTTAAATAAACCATAATACAACTACTGCTACGGCAAAGAACCTAAAAAGAAAGCAATGTAATAAATGCAGAAATAATAATAAGATACGCCTCTTCATGGTCAATACTCTACCCGTACCAAACAAGTTGATGTAGACAAACCCCTTGTCCATCAGTGGTTACGTACTGCAAGGTTAAAAGCTAAAACCTTCGGTTTTATTCTTCTTACACAGCAACAATGCTTGTCAATCACACAGTGAAAGTGCAGATGCTGTGATAAATATCCAGAAATAACTTACCATCTTCTATCAGGTTTCACGGTAGTAGCATTCACTGAATATAAATGTCTCCATAATAGTGGGTCAATATACGCATTGGAAAATGTACAACTTTTACCAGAAGGAAACTGCGAGAAATTGGTAGGAACGTCATCCAGACCCGGTTACAGAGCAAGGACCTGTAACAAGTTTATGGGTCTTTACAATACAGACAGACAGAACAATCCAACTAATCGTCAAGACATCGCCAGCAAAGACCAGAAGAATAGAATGTGCTTTCTTATTGATTTGGCAGTACCTGTAGACTATAACGTATCTTTGAAGATCTTCAGAATACAAGAGTCTTGAAATCGAAATGTAAAATAAGTGTCACCTGAGGTTATCAACAATTCCAGTTGTAGTTGGAGCCCTCGGGTTGATTTAAAAATATCCGATAGACCCATTGAAGGGATTCCTTGTAGTTCGCCCCCATAAAAGTAAAACAGAAAAGTACAGTATTTACATTATTCGGATTATTGTCCTCATCTTTGTTGCCATTTTTATCACAACGTTTCGGCCGATGTACACTCCGGTCTTCTTCAGGTGGTTAGAATGTCGAACTGAACCCTTTATTTTGGTTTGGTTTGGTTTGATTTACGGCATATCAACCTCAATGGGTTACTTAATGTCGACAATTTTTATTGCTGGTAATATTTTTTTTCAAAACTGTAAAGCTGGTAATAATGTATTGCTGGTAATAATGCATTACTAGTAATAATGTATTGCTGGTAATAATATATTGCTAGTAATAATGTATTGCTGGTAATAATGTATTGCTGGTAATAATGTATTACTGGTAATGATGTATTGCTGGTAATAATATATTGCTAGTAATAATGTATTGCTGGTGATAATGTATTGCTGGTGATAAAACTTTAACAAAGTATTTCTGTTATTAAAACCTTTTTTACACTTTCATAGAAAGTATTACTAATCATGTTCTTACCTTCAAAAATCTATTTCTGCTAATATTTTTCTTCAAAAATCGATTGCAGGTAATATTTTTCCAAAAATGTATTAGTGGTAATATTTTGTTAGTAATAATTTTCCTTTTAAAATGTATTGCTGGCAAAAATTCTTCCTTCACAAAAGCATTGCCAGTAGTACTTTTCTGACATAAATGTATTGCTGGTAATAATTTATCCTTCAAAATTATATTACTGGTAATAGGTCTTCAAAAAAATTATTGCTGGTAAAAAATTTTCTTGAAAATGTATTTCTGGTAATAATTTTTCCCTCAAAAAATGTATTGCTGGTATTAATACATATTTTTACACCTCCACAGCGTTTTGATTCCTATATGGGATCAACTATTTGCCTATTTCTGGGACCCTAACAGGTGCTACCACCCCGGGTTAGGGAGGACCAGGGAACAGCAGCAATTAAGAAGTAGTACCACGCTTCTCACTGATCAGAGGCTATGCTGTTGGATGTAGTTTATCGTCTTATCCAGGACGTGGATGTAGTTTATTGTCTTACCCAGGACGTTGATAACAGGCACCTCGACGTAGTGTAATAGTTAGAAAGCTTGTCTTGCTAGATCAATTACGAGTGAGTTCGATCCTCACTGGGTGTCCCATACTTTCGGCCTTGTGTCATATCTAAGCCGGGCTTAGAAAATCACTTTAAAAAGATACGACACTGATAACTAAGCAACCCCCTTTGCCCTTATTTCTCGGCCTTGTGCCATGTTCAACGTATTTATCCATAGTTTTAGCTTTCCCTGTTAAATGACAAAAGACTAAATATATAATGATTTTCTGAGCGTGGCTTAGATGTGACACGAGGCCGAAAATATGTGGCACTCTGTGATGTTCGAACTCACAGCTCAGTTGAAATTGTAATATTTAGACAAGCATGCTAGCCATTACAACATGTCAATCCACCCAAATATTTTCCTAAGTGTAGCTTAGATGTAGCACAAGCGCTAAAGAGTCACCTAGTGAGAATCGAAGTCACTACTCAATCGTAATTGAACTAGCGAAACAGGCTTGCTAAACATTACACCAACGGAAAAGTGCCCAAAATGATTTAGTAGAAAGAGGAGACATATTATCATCTTTGAAATATGGGTAATATTAACAAAGAATTTATTCTAACCAATAATTACTAAATTATATGATAAATTTTAATATTAAAATTAAAAAAAAATAACAATTTTAAAATCCAAATTTAATCGCTATTAAGTTTAAAAACTATAAAATTATTGAGGAGAAAAAAAAATACATTTGTTATTCAATTTATTTCTTCATTGAAATTAAAAAATAGACGCTAAAGTTATATCCGGTCCTATCAATATATATGTATACATTTTAATGTGTGAATGAGGTCGTAATCTCACGCGTAAAACAAAAACAAACATTAAAACAAGATTATAATATATAATGCACACAGACATATATATATATATATATATATATATATATATATATATATATATATATATATATATATACAAAAAAGTGACGCAACAGGAACATCTCCACGGCACTTTATGAAAAAAAAAGGGGAAGGAAAAGGTGAAACCAACACATACGTACATGCATACACAATTAAAAGTGAATGCACTTTCCATACGCATAGACACGTATAGATACATGTACACACATCCACAGACATTGACCCAGACAATCAGATACCAATAAATATTTAAGACTGAAAGTGTCATTAAATAAATTCTAACCACTTATTAAAATATAACTT